AGCAGGGACAAACCCTTCAAGTGCTTGGAATGTGGGAAGAGCTTCAGACGGAGCTCCGACCTCCTCACCCACCAGCACGTCCACACTGGGGAACGTCCCTACACGTGTGGGGAGTGTGGGAAGAGCTTCAGCCAGAACTCCAACCTGATCCGACACCAGCGCATCCACACTGGGGAACAGCCCTACACGTGTGGGGAATGTGGGATGAGCTTCAGGGAGTGCTCCACCCTCCTCACCCACTGGCGCATCCACAGTGGGGAACGGCCCTACACATGTAGAGAATGTGGGAAGAGCTTCAGGAATAATTCCAACCTGATCCAACACCAGCGCATCCACACTGGGGAGAGGCCCTACCTGTGTGGGAAATGTGGGATGAGCTTCAGGCAGAGCTCCAACCTCCTCAAGCACCAGCTCATCCACACTGGGGAACGGCCCTACAAGTGCTTGGAATGTGGGAAGAGGTTTCAGACCAGCTCAGATCTCCTCAGGCACGAGCAGACACACACGGATGAGAGGCCCTTCCGCTGCACCGACTGCGGGAAGGGCTTCAGCCGGAACTCCCACCTCGTCATCCACCGGCGCATCCACACCGGGGAGAGGCCCTACAAATGCTTGGAATGTGGAAAGACCTTCACCCAGAGCTCTGGCTTGACCTCACACCAGCGGACCCACCGGTAAGGAAGCCCTACCAGTGCCCCAACTGTGGGAAGAGCTTTGGCTGCTGCTTCCACTCTGAATGAACCCCCTGATGTTGAGGCAACCCCTGGAGTCCAGTGACTGTCAGTCCATCCCTTTTGACCAGAAAGGGCCAGTCCCCTTTCCCAGGGGCAGGTTCTGCCAACAGAGAACTCTTCTTGGGGTATGTGTGGAGATTCCTGCCTTGACTGGGGACCCCCCAAGGTCACTGCTGGAGGTTGAGAGCAGAGATCTCCCCACCAGTGTTGGTCTGGGGGAGTTCCATCCATCTCTAATTAAGAATTATTGCTTTTGTTTCAGCTTTAGTAGAATTGCTTCAACAATTGCTTTAGTGTAGAGCACTGTCCTGTCTTATCCTGTACTCCTGGTAGTTTTAGTGTGTATATTGTGCAGTAAATAATTCTGATGAAGATCTTTTGTCTGACCATTTGTAACCCTAAATAATTAATTTCTATCAATAGATCTTATTTGCCATCATTAAAACCTGGGGGACAAAAGTGGTTCAGTCACACCTCTGTAATTCCTCTAAACTGAAAGTGTTGGCATAATCCAAGGCTGAGATTGGATCCAGCAGCCCCCAGCACCCCACAGGAAGTTGGGAGCTCAGGGAGCCACCCCCCTTTCCCAACCTCCCTGTGCCCAAAGACCCCCATAGGACTGTCGGACCTACCAGACCACCCGCCCTTTTCCACCCTTCTTCATGTTCCTCCCACTTTTCCATAGTCCCCTCAATCCCCAGTCCCCCCCAGATCACTCTGGGGGTCCCAGCCCCCATTTTTACCACCTTTCTCACCCCTTCCACATCATCCTCCCACTCCCCAGCCCCCTCATGCTCAGTTTGGGGGTCCCACCCTCCCCTTTCCCCACTCTTCTGACCTATCCCACCCATTTCCCATCATCCTCCAAACCTCAGAGCTCCTCCCCCCTCCACTTTTGGGGAGTCCCACTCCCCTCCCACGCAATTTGGGGTCCCACCACCCCTTTATCCCCTCTGACCCCCCTTTTCCCACCAACTGCCCCCTCCCCCACCCCTCGCTGACCCAAGAGCTCCTCGCCCGCAGCCGGGGGGGCTCCCAGCACCACCAGTGCCCAGAGAAGTCCCCCCAGAAAAGGGGTTGGGTGGGGTCCTGGGTGGGCTTTGAGTGTGTTTGGGGGTCTTTGAGGGGCTGTGGGAAGGTTTTGGTGGGGCCCCAGCACCTTTTGGAGTGAGCTGGGTGCCTATTGAGGGGCAGGTGCCCTCCCAAAGCCCCCCCAGAGCGGGTTGACACAGGGGGGACACAGGGGGGTCCCCATTCCCGATCCATTCCGGGGCCGGTTCTGCTCCCCCCAAACTCGGCTCTTCCCTGTGGGTCCCCCGAGGCCCTCCCCCAACTGCCCCCCCAATAACCAGGACTGGGGAGAACTGGGAAGCTTTACTGGGATCACCGGGAGCAGCCGGGCAGAGGCAGAGTGACAGCAGGGGAGGGGGGACACACGACCCCCCCAAAATCCTCGCAGGGACGGGGGGGTCCAGACTGGGCCCGAGGCCCCAGGGAGGGGCTGCGGCCGCCAGCGGCTCAGGAGCTCTGTGGGGAGAGAAAAGGGGGTGACACCGGGGTGGGGGGTCCCCGGGGGGGCACAGACGCTCTGGGGGGTACACACAACCCCCTGGGACCCCCCTCACCTTCTGGCACAGGTAGAAGCCAAGCCCCACTCACCTTTGCAAAGCCACACCCCTTTTACAAAGCCACACCCCCTCAACCAAACCACACCCCTTCCCTAAACCACGCCCGCTTTCCCTGTGACCATGCCCCTTTTCTCCACCTTCCCCCCCTTTTTTTGCCTCAAATCCCCGGTTTTTGGCCTAAAACCCCCATTTTTTCACCTTAAATCCCGTATTTTCATGTCCTGATCCAATTTTTTTTTAGTTTCAAACTCCCCTTTTGCTCCTTTTTGCCTGATTTTGGCCTTTTTTGCCCCGAACCAGCTTCACCTACATTGAGTTCTCGGACAAGGAGTCAGTGCGGACGTCGATGGCCCTCGATGAGTCGCTCTCCAGGGGGAGGCAAATCAAGGTAAACCCCCCCCCCAAAACGACCCCAAAATGACCCCAAATCCCTCAGAATTTCCCCAGAATTTTCCCTGGAATTTTTCCCGTTTTTTTTCAGATTTTTTCCCAATTTTTCCTGATTTTTAATTATTTTTCCTGATTTTTTAAATTATTTTTCCTGATTTTTTCTGATTTTCACCCCAAATTTTCCCTCAAATTTACCAAAACGAGACTCAAAATTCCCCAAGTTTTTCCCCTTTCGTTTTTTTCCCCAAAATTCCCCGTTTTTAGATAAATTTTACCTCAGTTTTCCCCCAAATTACTGCAAAACGTTTTTCAAAAAATATCCAAACTCCCTCAAATTCCCCCATTTTTCACCCAGAATCTCTCAATTTTCCCCAAATTCTCCAATTTTTCCCCCAAATTTCTCCAAAACTCCTCTCAAAAGTTCCAAATTCTCATACTTTCCCCCCAATTTTCCCTCAAATTTTCCTAAGTTTCCCCCATTTTCCCTGAAATTCCCGATTTTTCAGCTGAAGTTTTCCCATTTCCCCCCAAATTTCCCCAAAATTTCCCGTTTTTCACCCAAATTCCCTCAGAATTCTTCAATTTTTCCCCAAATTCTCTCTAAATCCCCTATTTTTTGTCCAAATTTCACCTCAAATTTCACCATGAATTTCCTTAAATTTCACCCGAAATTTCCTCAAATTTCACCTCAAATTTCCTCTCAAATTTCATCTTAAATTTCATCCTAGATTTCCTCAAACTTCACCTCAAATTGCACCCAAATTTCACCCCAAATTTCCTCAGATTTAACCTCAAATTTCACTCCAAATTTCACCCCAAGTTTCCTCAAATTTCACTTTAAATTTTCTCAAATTTCAACCCAAATTTAGCTGAAATTTTTCTCTCAAATTTCCTCAAATTTTACCTGAAATTTCTTCACATTTCATCCCAAATTTCACCCAAAATTCCCTCAAATTTAATATCAAATTTCCTCACATTACACCCCAAATTTCACCCTGTATTTCCTGAAATTTCGTCTCAAATTTCATCCCAAGTTTCCTGAAATTTCACCTTCAATTTCATCCCAAATGTCTTCAGAATTCCTCAATGTTTTCCCAAATTCCCTTTAAATTCCCCCTTTTTTAACCAATTTTCTCCCGAATTTCAGTTTTTCTCCCAAATTTCACCTGAATTTCCCCAATTTTCACCCAAATTTCCTGTTTTCCCCCAAATTCCCCATTTTTCCACCTATATTCTCTCAGAATTCCCAAATTTTGTCTCCCAATTCTGCCCCAAATCCCATCTAATTCCGCCATTTTTTAAACGAATTTTCTCCCAATTTTTGCCCAATTTCCCCAATTCCCCCAAATCCCCTTTTTTCACCCACAGTCCCCCATTTTTCCTTCAAATTCCATCAACTTTCCCTCAGAATTCTCCAATTTCCCTCAAATTCCCTCCAAATCCCTCCTAAATCCTCTCTAAATCCCCCATTTTCTAACCAATTTCCACCCGATTTCCCCCAAATTTCCCCATTTTCCACCCAAATTTCCCTAATTTTCCTTCAGAAGTCCCTCCAATTCCCCCCCAATTCCCTCGACATCCCCCCTTTCCTAACGAATTTTCACTGTTTCTCACCCGATTTTTGCCCAATTTTTGCCCAAATTTCACCGATTTTCATCCAAATCTCCCCAAATTTCACTCAAATTCCCCCATTTTTCCCTCAAATTCCATCAGCTTTCTCTCAGAATTCCCCAATTTCCCTCCCAAATCCCCTCGAAATCCCCCATTTTTTAACAAATTTTCCCTTATTTTTGTCCAATTTTCACTGAATTTTCACTGTTTTTCACCCAATTCACGCCCAAATTTCACCGGTTTTTGCCCAAATTTCCCCAATTTCCCCCAAATTTTCCCAAATCTTCCCATTTTTCCCCCAAACTCCATCAACTTCCCCTCAGAATTCCCCAATTTCCTCCCTAAATCCCCCCAATTTCCCCTCAAATCCCCTCCAAATCCTCCGGTTTGACCGATTTCTGCCCAATTTTCACTGATTTTTGCCCAAATTTCACCCAAATTTCCCCAATTTCCTCCAACTTTCTGCATTTTCCACCCAAATTCCCTCAAAATTCCCCAAATTTGCTCTCAATTACCCCTGAAATCCCCCAGTTTTCCCCCCAAATCCCTCCATTTTTTAACGGATTTTCGCCCAGTTTTCATCCAAATTTCACTGATTTTCACCCAAATTCCACCCGATTTTCATCCAGATTCCACCATTTCCCCCCAAATTCCCTGTTTTCCTCTCAAATTCCCTCAGACTTCCTCAATTTTTTCCCAAATCCCCTCTCAATCCCCCATTCTTTAAGGAATTTTCACCGATTTTCATCCGATTTTCGCCAAATTTTCACTGTTTTTCTCCCAATTTTTGCCCAAATTTCACCCAAATCCCCCCAAATTTTCCCAAATCCCTCAGAATTCCCATTTTCCCCATTCCAGGTGATCCCGAAGCGCATGAACCGTCCCGAGATCAGCAGCACCGACCGGGATTTCCCGCACGGCCGCTTCCAGGGCCGGAGGGGAGGGTTCGGCTCTGCCCACGCCCGATTTTACAACGGCTTCCAACGGCCCCGAGGGAGGGGATACAGGTCAGTTTGGAGACAATTCCGAATGTTTGGGGGCATTTCGGGTGATTTGGGAAGTTTTTGGTGATTTTTTGGGAATTTTTGGGGCGGGTTTTGGGTCAAATTCAGGTGGTTTTGGGGCTGAATTTGTTTTTTTTCGTGGGGGGGTTGGGTGCATTTGCATAGTTTGGGGTCAAATTAGAGGTTTTTGGGTCGAATTTGGGTGATTTGGGATCAGATTTGGGGGGGGTTGGGTCGAATTTAGGGGTTTTTGGGTCAAATTTGAGGTGATTTCAGGGTCAAATCCAGGGGGTTTTACAGGGTTTCTGGGGTCAAATCCAGGGGACCTTGGGGTGAATTTGGGTGGAATTTGGGTGATTTTGGTTTTTCTGGGGTGAATTTGGGTGGTTTTGGGTCGAATTTAAGGGGTTTTGGGTCGAATTTGGGGGGAATTTG